GCTGATGGCAAGTGGGCAGCGCTGCCGAGAGACAGCTCTGCCCAGGAGCAGCTCCTCTGCAAAGCGCAGCAGGGCTGAGGGCACTGCCTGCAGGCACCGAGGGGAGAGAAAAGAGGCAGAGAGAGGTTACAGGCATTTTGGGGTGGGAGAATGCTGAGATCACTGGTGGAACAGACCTTCACAGCCCTTACTATAGTAAGTCTCTAGGTGCAGGACAAGGTAGCTGGTGTTGCTGGAGGGATATCCAAAGGCTGGTACATCCCACAACAGGTATGATCTTTCAGGAGGACTCTTACAGTTTCTCTAGTGTAGAGGAGGAGGACATGCTGCAGAGCAGGGAATCCTTCTTACACTGTCAGAAGGACAGGGCATGACAGCTATTTTGCCCCAGGAACCACTCCAGGGTTTTGCAGCTGGCTGTATAGCCAGCATTGCCTAGGGCTATCATTCAGAGCAGGGTCCTTCTGACCCAGGGGGCTGTGCAACAGGGCAGGGACTCTGCTGCCTGCCAGAGTAAGCACTCAGCCTGCCCGGGGAGCTACCAAGAGCACTATGGGCAGAATCTGTGGTTGGAAGCAGTGACCCCTGACAGGGAAGGGTCCTCCTATTGTCCAGAGGGTGCAGCACGGGTCAGGGACACTCAGATTTCTACATCAACCAGAGGATGTTTGCAGATTGGTCATTTTAAAGATGGATGTCAAGGCAGGGCATTCCCTAAAAAGGTAGAAATGTGTGCTTTCAGGTTTCTCTTCTTGCTCTGCTGGGTGGGCAGTGGGAGATGGGAATTTATTTCTCTGCTCTGGAGTAGGCAGTGAGACCCCAGTTCTCGTTAGCACTTCTCTGAGCTTCTCCTTCCCTCAGGCGCACACAGAGATGTCCCTGGGCAGTGCCCTGCTGTCAGGAGTTGTCTGCAGGGCAGAGCTGAGCACACAGCAGGTGGGATGGGGACTGTGAGCATGCAGAGGGAGGAGAGGTGGGGACAGAGAAACAGGTCCTGGCCAAGAAGAGCTGCAGGCAGCAGAGCCATGGGCAGGAAGGGAGAGAGAAGTGCTGCCAGAAATGCTGTGGGAGGAGGGATTCTGGCATCTCCCTGCCATCCGGGAGCCGCCCCCTGGTCTCCTCCCCCCAACAGCGGAGCCTCTACCCTCAATGTCATGGAGACTTGGCCAGGAGTTGCCTTCCCAGCAGCCTGACCGCCAAGGAGGAAACAAACCCCTGTGTCTGACTGGGTCTCCCTCTCCTGCCCCCCTTGCAAAGGGGTCCTTGGGCATCTTTTCCTCTGCCCCCTGCCACCCTTGGTCTTCCTGTTACACTCCCTGGGGTGGGGGGGTGACAATTCAAGTGCAGCTCAGACACCAACACTGTGTGCACTGCCATGCACGTATGTCCATGGAGGAAAAGCATCCCACTCGCCCCCTGTGACCCTCTGGGGCTCTGGGTACTGCAGTGTGTGCGGCTGGCAGGGATCTCAGCCTCTCTTCAGGAGGGAACAAAGGGAGGAGATGGGACTCTTTCCTTGGGAGGGGGTGCTGGGCCTGGGCTGCAGGCTGCCCTCCAGGAGGGCAAAGCTCTCCTGTGGCATCTCTGTGTTATGCAGGAGCTCCATGGAGAGGACCCATGTGTGCTGAGGCCGCGGAAATGCTTCTGGGTGGCTGTAGGTGGGCAGCTGCCATGAGCCCTTGGTGTCCCTGGTTGGGAGGGCAAAGCTGAGATCCTATGCAGCTACGATGGGCTGAGGGGTTTGGAGATCTGCACTTGGAAATGGGGTTCCTCTGCTCCCAGCAGTGCCCTGTTTCTTTTGGGGGGAACCCCCGAGTGCCATAGTCCTAGAGCTGAAAGAGCTGCCAGCACAGGGCAGCTGAGAGCAGGGCTGATGGACAGAGTGGATGTCCTCCCTCTGCACTAAGGGACAGTCCCTTTGCCTCTCAGCACCCACAAGATTTTCCTGGCAGTAATTCATCAGAAATGCCAGGGATTTCTGCATGAAACCCACTCCTGAGCTGTGGTGGGGCAACTAGAAGAGAAGACACAAAAGAAAATCTCCACATGACTGCTCAGCAGTCAGGTGAGTTGGAGGCGACAATGCTGAAAAGCTCCTTGATATCAGGTGGGGATTTGATCTGAGATCAATCCGTGTTCCTCTTTACCTATTGCTATAGGGCAGGACTGACTCCTGCAGAGCCTCCAGCAGAGCCTCCTGTTCCCTGGGGCACCCTCAGCCAGCACCAACCAGAGCTCTCTCAAGGTCTTCCTGAAAGGGGAAATGTAGTTTTTTTGGGTTCTGTAAGAACTTGAATAGATTATTTGCAAAGAAGTCTGCCCTAATCTCTCGCTTCCTTTACTTCCTTCTTACAAATACCAATCCCCAAAGGGACAAAATGTCCAACAGCAGCTCCATCACCCACTTCCTCCTCCTGGCATTCGCAGACACACGAGAGCTGCAGCTCTTGCCCTTCTGGCTCTTCATGGGCATCTCCCTGGCTGCCCTCCTGGGCAACGGACTCATCATCACCGCTGTTGCCTTTGCCCACCGCCTCCACACCCCCATGTACTTCTTCCTCCTCAACCTCGCCCTCCTTGACCTGGGCTCCATCTCCACCACTGTCCCAAAAGCCATGGCCAATTCCCTCTGGGACAGCAGGGCCATTTCTTATGCAGATTGTGCTGCCCAAGTTTTTCTTGTTTTCTTTTTGATGTCAGCAGAATTGTGTCTTCTCACTGTCATGGCCTATGACCGCTATGTTGCCATCTGCAGACCCCTGCTCTACAGGACCCTCTTGGGTAGCAGAGCTTGTGTCCATATGGCAGCAGCTGCCTGGGGCAGTGGATTCCTCAATGCTGTGCTGCACACTGCCAATACATTTTCAATTCCCCTCTGCCAAGACAATGTTTTGGACCAGTTCTTCTGTGAAATCCCCCAGATCCTCAAGCTCTCCTGCTCAGATGTTTCTCTCAGGGAAGTTGGGCTTCTTGTGTTTGGTGTCTGTACTGCATTGGGGTGTTTTGTTTTCATTGTGGTGTCCTATGTGCAGATCTTCAGGGCCGTGCTGAGGATCCCCTCTCAGCAGGGACAGCACAAAGCCTTTTCCACGTGCCTCCCTCACCTGGCCGTGGTCTCGCTATTTCTCAGTACTGCAGTATTTGACCACCTGCATCCCCCCTCCATCTTGTCCCCATCCCTGGATCTTGGGGTGGCAATCCTGTACTCGGTGGTGCCTCCAGCAGTGAACCCCCTCATCTATGCCTTGAGGAACCAGGAAATCAAGGATGCCTTATGGAAACTGATGCAAAGGACGCTGTTTCACTGACAATAACCTGCCTTTCTTCCTCTGCCCATTTCCCAGAATTTATCTTATGCCATGAATCTATGTTTTTGTCTTGTGTTAATTTTGCTTAGAGATAATTTTCTGGGTTTATACTCCTGTTGAGGTTCGATCATGTTATGTCTGACCCTTGCACAATACTGTCTCACATGTGGCCTCTCAGATAGCAGCTCTTCTATAAAAGGGCATCACCCAGGTGTAGTTCCTGGATGCTGGGCTCTTTCCACAAATGTCATGATTATAAAACGTCCAAGGAATTGGTCCTTTAAAGAGTCTGTTCTCCTTTGTTCTCCCCGTGTTTGGGGTTAAGCTCATAGCACCTTTGCGTTCCATTGGATTGAAAGTTCTGGTTTTAAATACTCTCTTCTTGGTGTCCTATGACAGGGGAGATGATGTATGAGTTCCCCATTACCTCCTCGGCCAGCTTCACCTATATCAGGACTTATGGTATATAGCAGTCTTGATGGAAATTAATTTGGAGGGGTAAGGAGACGATGGAGACTCACCACGTGCCCTGGGGTTAGAATGAATGGAGACACACAAGCTGAAACATCCTCAGAATGAAAGTCTCCCAAAAGGAAAGCACTAAATTGAAGCATGTAAAAAAAAAAACAACAAACCAACAACGTGCCATGGGAGTCACTGAGGACTCCTCAGGCAGAGAGAGGGGAGACTGGAGAGATGCGGGCCATGTCTAAGGACCCCCAGGGCTAGGACTCCTGTGCTGTCATAGGGAGTGGGGCTGGTGGGAGCAGAGGAGGGAGAAAATGCAGTTGGGGTTGGGGATGACCTATAGTCCACATTCAGGAGAGCCAGGGAGCCTCTGTTCGTTAATTCCCTTAGGGCCAGCACTAGCTCTGGGGCTGATGGGGATGCTGCCTTCCCTCCCTTCTCCCAGCATCTGCTGCACCCTTCAGAGGGGCTGGGGCTGTGGGGGGACTGCCCAGAGCTCTGCAGCACCCTGCGGTGGGCACAGCAGTGGGGCCAGCCCAGGCTGGGCTGTGCTGAGGAGAGGGCAGGGGAGGTGGAGAGAGCTGGGGAGGGGCTGGGCTGGGCTGGGAGGAGCCTGGGGAGAGAGAAACACCCGTGTAGAGCTGAGCTCTGTCAGTGTGCAGGGTAGGGGCAGCCGGCACTCACTGCACAGAGCCAGGTGACATGGTGAAGGAAGCAAGGCATCAAAGGGGCAGAAGAGAGGGGCCTGGTCTGTGTCATGTTCCGTGGACACCCCAGGGAAGCTGCACCAAGAAAATTGTCCCAGATCAGTCCCACACAGTGGCCATTTCCCTCTCTGGCCTGACACCCCAGCCCTTAGGAGGGACTTTTGCTGCTTGGTCACCCCTGTCCTCCTCTGGGGCTCACTGATACCCAACTCCACCGCCATTATTAATAAACAGAAACCAGTTTCCTACTGACCCCCATGACACACCTAAGCCACAGTTGGTCTCTCAGCCAAGGTCTTTCTGAGACACCTCCAGCTCGATCAGGATCTCGTGGCCTTATCATGACAAATATTGAAAATTTCCATTGATTGAGATCCTACCAACTGGCCTTTGTCCTTCTTCCAGTGTTTGGCTCTGAGGGCTTTCTCAAAAGCCCAGCTGTCTCAGCCTTTCCCCGTCCATAATGCGCTCTACATTCCAACCACCCTTCTGGCCTTGGCAGGACTCACTCCAGTCAGGCTCTTTCTTGTGCTGGGAAGTCCCATGATGGATTCAGCAGTCCTGATGTGGTCCTGTGGTGGATTAACCATGGCCAGCAGCCAGACAGCCACTCAGCTGCTCCAACACTCTCCTGATTCAACAGGACAAAGGGAGAAAATAAATCAGAAAAGCTCCTGTGTCAAGATAAAGACAGGGAGATCACTTACCATTTGCTGTCACTGGCAAAGACAAAGTAATTCCGCTTTATACTCGCAGAATCATGGAAAAGTTGAGATTGGGAGGGACCTCTGGAGATCCTCTTGTTCAGCCTCCCAGCTGAGGCAAGGCCAACTAGAGGATGTTTCTTGGGACCTTGTCTAGGTGGGTTTGGCATATCTCCATGGATGGACACTCCACATTCTCTCTGGGCAACCTGTTCCAGTGACTGACCATCCTCACAGTCAAAAAGATTTTCATGAGTTCAGATGACATTTTATATACCTTAATAACATCCCTCTGAGCCTTTTCTTCTCCAGACTGAACAGTCCCATGTCTCTCAACCTTTCCTCCTATGAAGGATGCTCCAGTCCCCTAGGCCACCTCCACCTTTGTGGCCCTTTGCTGTACTTCCTTCAGCAGGTCAACAACTTTCTTACACTGAGGAGACCAGCACTGGGCACAGCACTTCAGACAGGGCCTCCTGAGTCCTGAGTAGATGGGAAGGGTCACTTCCCTCCATCTGCCAGCAATGGTTTTCCTAACTGAGACCAGCAAGATGTTGGCCTTTGCTGCAAGGGTTCATTGATGGCTCATGCTCAAGTGGTTGTCCTCCAAGTTCCCAAGGTCCTTTTCTGCACAGCTGCTTTCCAGCTGGTGAGCCCCCAGCATGATGTCCACTGTGTGGCTGGATCACAGGCTATCCTCCCCCAGGGACCTTCTCAGCAGCAGCTTGTCCTTGGAGATCAGCTCTATCCCTCTCACAGCCTCCACACAGTGCTGAAGAGTTCCCTGGGAAGGCAAAGCGCTCTCCTTCCAGGGCTGCACAGCCCAGGCCTGTGTCTCCCTCGCCTTGGGGACTGCAGCTTTTGCTCTCTTTGTGGGAAACTCGTTCATCATGATGTTGCCACCTGCCATCCATGCCAGCATGCCTCTGCTGGCAAGCAAAGCCTTTCCGCTCATGGGGTCCAATCTCTTAGTAACAGATTTCCAGGGGACAAATCTGCCCTTGGCCCTGGTGCCACATCTGAGGTGCTGCCACCCAAATGGGCACCAAATCCCACAGCCTGGGGCACAGGCTGTAGGAGATGCATGGGCCATCACAGAGCTGTGACATCGGTGGAATAAGAGCCCAGATGGGGAAGGACAAATCTCTCCTCAAAGGGACACGCAGCAGGTTTGGTGGGCTTGTGTGAGGGTCAGCTTTTACATGGCCCATCCAGTCTTCTGCTCACCTGGATCTGGCTCTCCCAAAAGAGGAAGAGCTGGTCAGGGATGTGAAGACCAGTGCTGGCCTTGTCTGTAGTGACCCATTGATACACAATGGTTAGAGGGACAGGGGACTAGTATGAGCCCTCAACCCATTGCCCAGAAGCGTGCCAGGGGTGCTGCAGCAAAGTTGAAGTCTGGCGGAGGTGAGCTGGAGG